AGTTGGAGCAACTTCAGGAGAGAAATAGAGAACATGCTACAAACTTTTGGAAGAAGGTTGATGAGCAAGAAAAAAGGGAGTTGGCTGAGGAAAAAGAAAAAACTGAGGAAGAAAAAAGAGAGTTGGCTGAGGAAGAAGAAAAAGGTGAGGAAAAGGAGAAAGCTGAGCAAGAAAAAAATGTTGGAAGGGAGTTGGCTGAGGAAGAAGAGAAAGCTGAAGAAGAAGAAAATGTTGGAAGGGAATTGACTGAGGAAGAAGAGAAAGCTGAGGAATCTGAGAGTAGTGAGAAAGAGAAAGAGATGGAGAAGAGTGGTGATGAAGAAATGGTGGAAGAATCTAAGAAGGAAATGAGTGGAGATGAGGCAGATAACATTGTGGCAAGTGTTTTGTCTGAGATCAATGAGGCTCCGGTTGAGACTGCGACTCCACCACCACCACCACCACCACCACGTGAGACTCCACCACCACCACCACGTGAGACTCCAACACCACCACCACGCGAGACTCCAACACCACCAAAACGTGGTAGGACTAAGGCGCAGGCTGCGAGGTTAACGCCAGAGAAGTGGCAACCGTTAAAGCGTAAACCGCCACCAGTTGATCTGAACAAAAACCCTGTGGAGGAAGAAGAATATGGAGAGAAAGAGGTACAAGAAGAGGTTGTGGTCAATGAGGCTCCGGTTGAGGAAGTGGCAGCAGTTAAAGAGTATACTGAGGAAGAAAAACAAAGTTGGGTCATGGTGGTGGTTGAGGATAGGATGGATGGGGCATATGAGGTGAGAGAAGCAGTGACGCGCCCTGAGATCTTGCTTAGATGCAAGGAGAAGACAGAAACGTATGGAAAACCGACTGCTGGACCTAAGAAGAGGGGCAGACCAAGGACGAGAGCTGTTGATGCTGCACCTCCGATAACGGGGAAGAGGAAGTCTGAACCATCACAGTGGGTGCAGACTCCTTTCACGGCGGGGAANACCGACTGCTGGACCTAAGAAGAGGGGCAGACCAAGGACGAGAGCTGTTGATGCTGCACCTCCGATAACGGGGAAGAGGAAGTCTGAACCATCACAGTGGGTGCAGACTCCTTTCACGGCGGGGAAGAAGGGGAGGAAGAAGTCTAAAACAAAGGCTTAAACGTTTATGTATGGAACTACCTTATGTATTTAAATGTTTGAAACTTGTAGGAGAATGCTTGTTTTTTTGTTGTTGGATGTTAAAACTGTGTTGAAATGTTGTTTTGGATCTTTGAGACAGGTAATGGAATAGCTGGGATAACTTGAATTACAAGTGTTACTCTGCCCAAAAATGAATAACTGTGATAACTGGAATTACTGGGTTTGTTGTAATGCAATAAAAATAGATGAAATGAATTTTTTTTTTTTTTAAATGAATTTCACATGTAAAACATGCAGCCGTCAAATTTCTCATGTAAAACGTGCAGCCGTCATATATAAATTTAGTAGTATACATAACACTTAGTAATATGTCTAATAATCTCCAAGGTTGTAGTAATACTACTATACACATAGTAATACTTTGGCAATATTTACGTTTATCTAGTTAAACCATCACAAAATCGAAGGTTTTGTAGTAAAACCAATGCTTTTACCTAGTCAATCTTGTTAAGGAAGACATTTGCATTAAAAATTTCCAAGGAATACATGTTTTGAAAAATTCTCTTCACTATACTAGAACACTTAGTAAACTAATATAGAAAGTTAAGGATGTTTTTTAGGAAACTGATAAGTTTTTTTTTAATAATTGGAAATATTTATGAAAAATAGTTTAGATGTATATAGTTACCATAGACATAGTCTAGGAAGTGAAAACAATCATCAAAAAATAGTTTAAACGTACATCATAAACAATTTACCTAGTGATATATTTTGCATACGAATAACACATAATAAAACCAGAAATTCCCAGTAGTCCAGATTACACGTAGTAACACCAGTAGTCTCAAGTAGTCCAGGTTACACATAGTAAAACGAGTAATCAGCAGTAGTCCATATTACACTTAATAAAACCAGTAAATCCTAAGTAGTACCAGAAGCACTTCCACATTCAAAATAAGATGCAAGACCTGCTCCTCTGGCTATGCCTCTTCCTCTGTCTCCTCTAGCTCCCCCTCTGCCCCTTTTTCCTCTTCCACGGGATTCTCCTACTGATGGAAATCTTGTTTGTTGTGGTT